TATGTGTTCTACAATTCTTACCTTACTTGATGCAATTTTATTTTTTTTTTAAGAATTTTGCCTTAATTAGATGATCTTTGTACAAAGGGTTATGTTAACAGAGGAGATTGAAGTGTCAAGCAATGAATTGTCTTCTTCAGAAACTCTCTCTTCAGCTGCTATTTACATTTATCCCTTACTAAGACTTGTCTCTGTTAAACAGTATTCTGTTTAAAAATTATTTTTGAATCTACATTTGTTATTAGCCAGAATGTTGTGTTTTCAGTGTTGCTTAGATATGTATGTCTATTATTATTAGAAAAAAAAAAAAGAAGAAAAAAGGACTTCTTTAGTTCTTACTGATGCTAACTTTAACTACTCTAAAATTCTGCCAGGGCACCTATTTTATTTATCATAAATAGATAAAAGTCATGAATGCAATAAGAAGACTGATATTCCTACAGTAAAAATCTATTTCCACAGGAGTTTAAACCTATCTAAGTTGCTGCCATTCCAGTCCTTCCCTCTCCCTGGTACCATTTCAGGTGTTTGTACTTTTTAATCAGCTGGTTCTGCATGCTAACCCACCACAATCAATTAAATAATTATCTACCGGTTTGGTTGCCTGAGAGCCCCTTCCCCTTGCCTCTGTATTATGAGGCAGAGAAAGTGTATTGAGTTAAGAAGCGTGGTTCAGGTCTTGTCTGCTTTATCTCTCTGTACTGAACTTTGGTGTCTTAGGAGATATGTATAATTTCCTCCACTTATTTATGAAATTGTGTGTGTTACTTTTAGGCAAGGTTAATAATCAAGCCCAAGCCTATAAGTGGAATGTCTAACCTCTTTGACAATAGCAATAATCTGTCTCAGGTGGAAGGGGTCACATAAACTTCCCTGATGATTTTTTTTATCTAGATGTAGACTGCACTCACCTGTGAGTTACTGAAAGAACCTACAGTTTCTGCTCCACAGTGATATGCTCTAGTCGATCTTTTCAGTGCGGTCTCAAAAGTGTGAGTTATGTCCTCTGTGGCTGGACCACATGGTAGATTAATGTTTTAGTTGAGAAGATGGATGTCTGCGTTCAGATGCAGAAGTCCAAGAGAATAGTAAGCATGAAGTGTTGTACGCAACTAGCCAGTAGTATGAATTCAAGAGAGCAAACTAATACTCCTCTTGCAAACAAAACTATTTCCTGTATTGCGTGTGACATGCTTTTGTGTACCCAAGTACATCTCCATTCCAGACATTTCACATCTAGCAAGTGATTTAATTTTGCCTTTATATAGTCTAAAAATATAAAACTGACACACCCTGTTGTGTTAGTCTTTGTTTCACAGAGCTGAAGCTATGCCACTCCCTTTTGTAAACTAGGCAGCTTCCTCTGGTCCTCAGTTTCCCACAACATTGCTGCTGAATGGTTGTCTGGGCTTAAAATGGTAGGGAGGGATGAGACCAGAAGTACTCAGTGTACTAGTGGTAGTTTAGGAGAGGTGGTATCTCTGATCTGTTGGCAACAGAAGATCTTCCCCTGTGTTGTATTCCCTTGGTCTCCTGCTGTGCAGAAAGCTGTACCTTTCCCTATTCAGTATTTGTGTTTTTTCCTCCAGGAAATGGGAACTGATGGTTAACTGAAATGACTCTTGTGCTTGTGCTCTTCCCTAAGCTGCCCTTGGTGGATGCCCTTGGTATATCAGGGTATGGCTGTTTAGTTATAAAATTTCAGGAGCTCCTCCAAGATTGTCAGCTTTAGTGCAAATTTAATGATCAAGTTTCATGGTTTAACCAACAGAGGTTAAAAATGCTGATACCTCCTGTTGTGACACTGCTGAGAGAAGTAAATTGTGCTTTCAGGACTAAGTATGAGATGTGAATTCAAAGTGTAAAGATAAGAGGGATCCTATGTAAAAGATTAATCCTGTATTTGTTATTAAAGGCAGTAGTTCTCTTTTAAAGTTACAGCCAAGCAGAAAATTTTGCATCTCTATTAAATATTGTTGCTGCTCAATAAGCCTTTTGAATATGTGTTGGAATCTGAAGCATGTGCTTAACTGTTTTGTTGAATTGGGGCCTTCATTACCAAATTGCAGGTGTATGTTAGCTTTAGTATTTAAGGGGAAAAAATAAGTAAAACAATGCTTATTTTGTTCTGTTCAGTGTAGTTTGTTACATTAATGGAAAACATCAGAAATGCTGTGCTGTTGCTATGCTATTAATTGAAACAGATTTAATACAGTTAATGGCTTGAGTGTTCAGTATGAGATAGGGTCCAGTTAAGAATTAACATGCAGTGACAAAATGAAAATTTAAAAAATGAAAGTAAGATTCTACTTTTTTGTGCCTAATATTATTGTGGAGTGAGGCTTTTATATGTTTTCTCATTTAAAAAGTGTGTTTCAATGATATTTGGTAAATTCTTGTGTGGATATTAGAGCTTTTATTATATGTGTGCAATAGCTGGGGCTCTGTAAACATTTCCATAATAAACTTCTCTGTATACTAGAGTTTAATAACTTGCTCATAAAAGCATGCTTTGAGCATAAAAGTGCTATACTGGTCTGCCAGAAAGCTTGTACTTTAAAAATAAATAGGATTATTTAAAGAGAGAGATTGAGAAAACTGAAGAAAAAGTGTGCTGTACCTAATTTCTAATAAATATTTGATCAGTATATTTTTAATAATTAATAAAAAAATACTTGATGAACAAGCTCAGTGCTGAACTAATCTTTCTAGTATACTTAAATTCTGAACTTTAAGTCTGTTGCTACATGAAATGTTCATACATGTAATGTAGATAAATTGTTAGTTCTTTATTTTCAGCTACATCTCATAGGTTTGAGAACTTCTTTAGATTTCTTTTTGCTAAATTTAAGTGGACAAAGGGATTTGACTGTTTCTTCATTAAACATGTTTTGTCAGTCTCTGATAATTTCAGTTATTTCCTTCTGGGAAATCTCCCATTAATCTACGTATTTCCCGAAGAGTAGTGTCCAGAGGTGGGCACATTGCTCTTAGGCCTTTGAAAGAAACAGGATTATCCTTCTGTGTATTCTGGGGTGCTTCATTCTTTGATGTAAGTATCGATACAATGGCTACTGTATAGAGGCTATTAAATAGAGTACTATTAAACAATTCCTTAATTGTTTCTTTTGCTGGCTTGCCTGGGGAGAAGAAAGTGTCACAATAGCAGAAAAGATGTTTAGAAAGGAAACGAATATTGATTTTTAGCACACCTGTTAGATATAAATCCGTGTAACATTGTCTTGTATTAGTTTTGGTATGCAGAACTGTAAAGTACGCTTTTCTGTAAGATAAGATACCTATAAAAGGCCTGTAGTCCATTAACAGCGAAATAATTACTTAGCTGTAAAACCTGGCTTTACCTCACTGGCCTTATACTGAAAACCAGGGTGGCTGAGAGCTCTTGAGTCATAATTTAGTTTCATATGAAAATTTTCAAAATAAAGATTTGTTTTATTTTCCTAATGCTTTATTCCACCTGGAACTGGAGAAATAAACTGAAGGATTGTCTGTATTTTTACTGGCTATGCCCCCGCCCCGGTGATTTTTCTGTTGCGGAATAACCTCGATGTTGCCTGTGGGATGTTTGCACTCTGAAGCATAACCACTCATGCAGATGTGCTTTCCATGCAAAAAGTAAATCAGCACTGTATTAAACATATCAATTTGTCTTACTACCTGTGTAGTTTCAATAGTCCAAAACAAACACCTTTGGCACACTGAAGTCCTTTGTTACCCGTCCCAAATGTGTGCCTGTAAATGCTGTAGGAATTGGACACTAGAGGGCTTTTTTCCTTTACCAGCATAAAGTTAGCTAGAGCTACGTTGTGCTAAATGAGACCACCAGATCTTTGCTCGTCTTTGTGAGACATTCCCTTGTTTAAAATAGTGGGCTATTATGAGAAATAGGAGAGAAACGCAGTGAAATAAGTTATATTCTGGCTTCCTATAAATGCTCTGAAGTCTTTATTTTTACATAGCAATGCTGTGGAGGAGCTGAGAAGTACTTGCTTCTCTTAGCAATGTCTCTTCTGACCAAGACATGTGTCACAAGTCTAGGTTCAATAGGTGTTTGCTTGCATGTTTGTTAGCTTTGAGATTCTTTAGGAAAAGTTCAATTTGATATTGTTGTTTTGGCCTTTATGTATATATGTATATTAATATAATTTGCAGTTGACTGGGACTTTTGGTTTAGAGTAACAATATATAAATTTAGTAGAAAGTCTTGGTGTTTACTAGATTATGGTTTCAAATCAGTTGGTTTTCATGTAATACTGAGTGTGTCTCTGGCACTTGATAGTAAAGTTCAGAATGAATATTGTGTGTTGTGAAAGACACAGACATTTTAGTAGGTATAAATCTTCATATTTGCATTCAGGGTTTGACCTTGGGTGGACACGTAGATATGAGGAGAGTCAGTCTGCAGTTTTCTTTTTGTCCTTGCTGGGTATAAACTTGAAATCCCTCAATGGTATTTCCCATAGGAAAGTGTGTGAAATCAAATGAGGGACATAGTCCCTTGAAAATAAGGGTAAGAGAAAAATAGGGTTGAAAAACAGCCAAATAATGTGAGCAGTATTTGCATATGTGTTTTTAGCTATTGTAAAGTAGGGCTGAATTTCCAGGTGAAGTGGAGTATGGAGTGAATCTGAAGAAATAAAATGTCTGAGTCCCAATTTCTTTAATATCTTTTTCTCTTATATTTTAGCTATATTACCAAGAAATAGAAAGGAATTGGCTTCTAGGGGTGAAGCAGTTGAATGAAATCTGAAAAAAATTACACACATGTACATATTTTTATCTACTTTCCTACTTGTTTTTTATTCATTGCCTAATACTCTAACAATGCTGAAGATTTCAGAGATGCATCTTCATTCTGCAGATGACAGCTAACCTGCTGGTATTTACCAGGCATAAAATGTTGCCATTGTATTATCTAGTGCTGTTCCACAAACAGGAAAACCAAATAACTTTTATTTTTCTGTTGTCTTCAAAGGGACATGAGAGATGGCTTCAGAAGAAAAAGCTTCTATCCTTCTCATTATATGAGAGAGCGATCCCCTCATAAGAGGGACTCTCCTTTCTTCAGGGAATCGCCAGGGAGCCGAAGGGATTCTCCGCACAGCAGATCTGGCTCTAGTGTCAGCAGCAGGAGCTACTCTCCTGAAAGAAGCAAAGCCTATCCTTTCCACCAGTCCCAGCATAGCAGAAGTATGTCATCTTTACATAAAAGAAATATTTCTTCTCAGCAAGGTAATGCTGGATTAATGATGAGAGCTGGTTAGTGAGGTAGAACTGCAAGTTACTTTATAAGCCCTTTTTCTTTACATGCTGTCTTTTACTAAGAAAAAACTAGGCATTTGGTACCAATTTTTTGTTGTCTGCTCTTTGGTTGTTTCGTTGTACTCTCTGTTCCCTTATGTATTTCATGTGGGAGATTGTAGGTGTTATTTCAGTAGCGACTCGAGAATGACTGTAGGAGTTTCAGCTGCGCAGCTTTTTCCAGTATCATGTTATTTTCCTTTTAGCATCAACTGCTTCTGTTACTTCTTTATGTGCTTCATTTGATTCCCTTACAAGAAACTTTGCTGTCATCTATAGCAGATGAAGACTTTTCTTCCTGCAACCAGGGAAAAAAGAGGGATTAAAAAATTTGGAGAAATTAAAGTACATTCTGGTACTTGTTATATTTTCAGAAAAAGTTCTTAGAACTGTATTATTAGGGTATTGAAGTCGGTTGGTTTTTAGCAATTTCATCTCGTCATCAGATTCTCTCAAATCTTGCTTTCTTCAGAGGAATGTGAAACATATCTCAGTTAAATCTATACTGTGTATATTCTGCCTTTTAAAAGTTTGGCTGTTAATCTTTCCAAGAAATCTAATGAATCATCTGTTTTGAAAATATTTAAGGTTTTCCTATTTAAATAATTTGCAAAAGAAAAAAGGCAAAATTGCTTTTTTTAGTATGCTACAATCTTAGCCACTGCTGTTTGTGCAGTTTATGTAAATTAATCTGATTTGATTTCCCTTTCTGCAAATGCTTTCTAGTGAACTATACAAATCTACTGTTCCTTTTGGCTGCTTTTTAAAAATGAATTAGATCTATTTTTTACTGATAGGCTTATTGTGTGTTTCCAGAGTGGCACACTGGACCATTATGTAGCAGTTTTTGCCAAAAAAGATCTTGAGTTTAGTTAACACATTGAGGAATCATTTTACTCCTTCTAGAATACAACTTATCTTTCTAGCTCATCATTGCAATTCTTTTAATGTTTTGTAGCAACACTCAGTGAACCTGAATTCCTGTAAGTGTAAGAGAGGAAGAGAAAAAATTACTTTCAACTAAATTTATAGAAGTCTTGTAGATGCGCAAATCATAATTACCAGGAATGGGAAAAAAAAGTTGTAAAAAAACCATATAAAATTTGGGAATGTTTCCGGGTTTTCCTAAAATTTTGAGCTGACTTCCATCACATTTCTAGTATATTGGCAGAATTACACTAACAGTAGTGGAGGTAGCAAAGTACAAGCAAACATCTTCACAAACCGGGAAAGATGCTGGTCAAGAGAGGAGGTTACACTTAGGTCTGTGGCTTTTGGGATTTTTTCCAGTTGCTTGATTAAACACCTCTCCCCATCATCTTTAAATCAGTTTTAAGAGACCAGATGGCTTGTACGCTGAACTGGACTTCTTTATAACTGCCTGTTCCCTGGAAAACAGTACTGCTAAACTGTTCCTCTGTGACTGAATTAAAATGGCCTATTTGCAAAGTATAAATGACTTAAATAATACTTTTAGAATCGTGTTTGAATATGATTTGTCTTAGGTAAGCTCATGTATTACACATTTAAAAGGAACATAAGGTGGGACTCACAGATGTCAGCAGTACATTTTAGTCTGTATTTAAGAGGTTTACGACGTGCAAGGTATATACTATTTCATGCAGAACTTCTAAGATGGTGTCTTTTTAAATATTGTGATACGGTTAAAATCATGCTGTCTGAAACAGTTTGGCCTGATGGCTTCCACTGAAGGAGGACTATCCCACACTCTGCAGCACTTCATAAACCAGGATAAATACAGGATTTGAACAAAGAAAACTAGGGTGACATAAAGAAGCTTGGTAAAGGGAGGGAAAGGGCTCATGGGAGAAGACAGGCATTCAGCCATGGCAGGAGAGCATGGAGAGCAGCAGAGTGGTATTCCTTCACTGGACCAGTCAGTAAGGGGTCTGTAGAGTGGTATGCCGAGGAGATGCAGGAAGACAAGTAGTGATACTTGGAAAAATGTCAAGTTCAATTGTACAGGTAGGACTTGTGTGTTCAAAATAGCCACACACATTCAGAAAAAACGTCTCCAGATTAAATGCTGATTCCTCTCTCTGCTTGACTTTGAATAATTAACTGCCACTTGTATCAGCTTGTTTCATCTGTTCAAGTGCAAACATATAATCCGCTCAACTGACGTAATCTTTAAAAAATCCAGTGCGGTGAAGGAGGCATGTAGGAGGCAGAGCTAGAGTATTCTGTAAATTTAAAAGGAAGTAGCTAATCCATGGGACTGAAAAGCAGGTATCACAGGAGCAAAGCTTCTGTGTTGGTGTCAAGGGAGACACACTGTGCTTTGGGGAGCGTGACAGATTAAAGACACAATTATTTCTATCGTCACGTTTTCGGGTTTGTCATGTACTTTGTATTTATAGGAACTTTTAATTTTTCACGGTTTTTCTTTTTGCTATTTCTTTCCATTTTTAAAGAGCTTTTTTGGTTAAAGGTAATTCATGATTCACCTTTCACTTTATGGCTACTATAGATTCTTAAATAAGGCTGCTTGCTATGTTTTTAAGTATGCTCTCCATTTAGAATCATCTTCAAATTGATGATTAAATTGCAATTTGGAATGTTTGCTTTTGCCAGAGTAACTTCCCCAACTATTTTCAGTAGCATTTTCAAAAGACCCATCAGTAGCTGTGAAGATTTTTGCATGGATTAGTAGGCCTTCAACATCACAGCAATAACTCATGTGCCTCTAACAATGTGCAGAGATGAGCAGGTGTTTGATCTTTGCTTTGTATTGTCCACACCATACATATGGTATGTAAATGTGGGG